GCTTTCCAGGAGTTGAAAAATTATCTGGCGAGCCCGCCAATCTTAGCAAAACCAGTCGAAGGAGAGTCGCTCTTCCTCTACATCGCAGTATCTGCTACAGCTGTAAGCGGAGTGCTTATCAGAGAAGAACGATCCGAGCAAAAGCCCATTTTCTACATCAGCCAGACATTGACCGAAGCCGAGACTCGCTACCCCCAGATCGAGAAGGTCGCCCTAGCCGTCGTAGTCTCGGCTCGCAAACTGCGCCCGTACTTTCAATCACATTCGATTGTTGTGCTCGCTACGCTTCCGCTGCGCTCGATCCAACACAGCCCTAGCCAATCCGGTCGGCTCGCCAAGTGGGCGATAGAGCTAAGCGAATACGACATCGAGTATCGGAACAGGTCGTCTGCAAAGTCACAAGTGCTCACAGATTTCCTCATTGAACTTCCCGCCGAAGCAACAAACGAGCCGACTCTTGAAGAAGTGTGGACGCTGCACGTCGATGGCTCGTCGTCTAAACACGGCTCGGGAATAGGAATCCGCCTCACCTCTCCCACCGGAGAAATATTGGAGCAGTCTTTTTGCCTGAACTTCCACGCCTCGAACAACGAAGCGGAGTACGAAGCACTGATCGCCGGCATACGACTAGAGCAGGGAATCGGAGTTTGAAAGATAAGAACCTTTTGCGATTCACAGCTCTTAGCATGTCAGTTCAACGGAGAATACGAGGCGAAGGATGGACGAATGGGAGCTTACCTCAAAGTGGTCCAAGAGTTGGTGCAAAAGTTTGATGAGTTCGAACCCACGCGCATTCTCCGAGGAGAAAAGACATCGGCCGACGCCTTGGCAGCACTCGCTTCGACCTCGGACCCAGACCTCCGACGAACGATCCCAGTCGAATTCATCGAACGTCCTAGCATCCAAGAGGTAGAAGGAGTTCGGCTGATAAATCCTCCCGAACAAGAACCAGAGGAGGACGAAGCCATCCCTATGGACGAAGACGCCTCACCAGCCGAACCGGAGTACGGCTGCGACAAAGAATGGCTCGGAGCTATCCGCGTGTATATCGCCGATGGAGAGTTGCCAACCGACAAATGGGAAGCCCGCAAACTAAAAGCTCAGGCCGCACGTTATGTCCTCGTCGATGGCGAGGTGTTTAAATGGAGATTTTCAGGGCCTCTCATGACATGCGTCGAAGGACTGGAAGCAAGAAAGATCATGCAGGAAGTGCACATCGGCTCGTGCGGGAACCACTCCAGCGGAAGGTCGCTCGCTATCAAGATAAAACGGCACAGCTACTTCTGGCCCACGATGGTCAAGGACTGCGAGAAATTTACGGCGAAGTGCGAGAAGTGTCAGCGGCACGCTCCAACAATTCATCAACCTACCGAGTTGCTCTCATCAATTTTGTCACCTTATCCGTTCATGAGATGGTCGATGGACATCGTCGGACCTCTACATCGCTCGAAGCAGAAGCGTTTTCTGCTCGTCCTCACGGATTACTTCTCCAAGTGGGTCGAGGCCGATTCTTACGCAAGCATTAAGGATGTTCAAGTCGAACACTTCGTCTGGAAAAATATCATCTGCCGACACGGGGTCCCTTACGAATAGTCACCGACAACGGATCCCCGTTCATCTCAACACGCTTTGAAGCCTTCTACGAGAAGTGGAAAATCCGCCTCAGCAAATCTACACCAAGATACCCTCAAGGGAACGGACAAGCCGAAGCAGCCAACAAGACGGTCTGAAAAAGAGGCTCGATGCCAAGAAGGGACGGTGGGCAGACGAACTCGAAGGAGTCCTTTGGTCTCATCGGACAACTCCGCGCCGAGCCACCGGGGAAACTCCATTCGCTTTGGTCTACGGATCGGAGTGCGTAATTCCCCCCGAGGTGGATTTCCCAGGTATTCGACGAAGCCTTCTACCAGGACAGGAGGGCTTGGACCACTTAATGATGCTAGATGAGCTCGACCTAATCAACGAAAAGCGCGACCAAGCCTTAATTCGAATCCAGAACTATCAACAAGCGACGGCGAGATACTACACAAAAACGTTCGTAGTCGAAGATTCAAAACAGGGGAGCTCGTCCTCCGAAAGGTCTTCCAAAACACTGCCGAGAAGAACGCAGGAAAGCTCGGAGCAAATTGGGAAGGTCCTTACAAGGTCACAAAAGTGGTTCGTCCAGGAGTCTACGAACTCGCGACACTAACTGACGAGGCGATTCCAAGATCATGGAACGCAATGCATCTAAAGAAATACTATCACTAAGGATACAGCACGACCAGCATGAACTACGGGATGGCTTGATCCCTGCAAAGGGTACGTAGGCAGCCCGTCCTCGGACGGGTTCAGCTGTCCCCCCTCCTAAAAAGGGGGGTGGGGGGTGGGTACGTATACACATACCTCCTTTAACTCTACAATTTTTAGCTTTTTTAGCTCGCTCACTTAGGAACATCGTCACTTCGGCACATCCTCAGCTCGTTTTGAATCATCTACTTATTTCACGTTTACCTTGGATTTCTAGTTTGTTCATTATCGCTTCGGCTAGTTTCTCATTCTTTCTAAATCAGCAACTTATTTTAACAAGCTCGGATTTTTAAATTCTTTCACTCATCACTTCGGCGAGAAATCATACCACTTTGGCATGATATCATGACTTAATTACCTCGGACCTTCGTTGGTCCTCATTTTCAGTTCGGCAAACTAAGCCTCCGAACGCCTCGTCTCGTTGCTGGCCACAACGGGGCAACAAATACAAAGTTCTCTAAACGGACTTTTACCACCTTTCCTAGGACGAGGGTGCAAGTTACATCCTCTACGGATAAAAATGAAGCGCGCTATACAATATCAGACCAAAAACGTATCAGGTCGTCATGGTTTACTATTGCACACGAGATTATAAGTCGAGACTACATCGCTTTCTCTAAAACCAAAGTAAACTCTTGAAACCCGGACAAGCCTACTCATCCTCTCGAAAACGCCGGTCCATAGTCAAATTCAATGAGACTACTAAATCATCCTCGGTTAACAAAAAGAAAAACAAAACGCCTCGTTGTTTACACGGCTCGGCACCACGCAGCGAGAAAACGCCTCGTCGTTTACACGGCTCGGCACCATGCAAAGCAAAAACGCCTCGTCGTTTACACAGCTCGGCACCACCCAATGAGAAAAACGCCTCGTCGTTTACATGGCTCGGCACCATGCAAAGCGAAAACGCCTCGTCGTGTACACGGCTCGGCACCATGCCAGCAAAAATTTGCCAGCTCGGGATTAAGAATCCAGCATCACCCGAAAGACGTGTCAGAAAACTAACTCCCAGCTCGGGATTGAGAATCCAAACAGGATCCTTAAAACAACTTACCTCTTAGCCCGTATTTCTGTCGATTCCAAAAATTCGGCTAAGGAAGCAATCAAAATCTTTCTCAACACAACAATTTTCATCCTTGGCAATTCTTTTCTGAGCCAACAGTTTTCGCAAACATTCTCACGGAAACAACCAAATTAGAAAAACGACTAAGGAAAGGAATAACATAACCAAAATATCAATTGGATAAAGCCATCCAGGCACCAGAAACACACGAGTTCAAAAGGCAAATAAAAAAAAAATCCTAAGTACATGCGAGATAAGACAGGAGAAAGCAGAGAGTGTCAGGCCGCGGACCGCGTTTTACGCTCAGCAAGGAGGTTCAAGGGGATCGGCGTACCCGCATTCGATCCGTTCGGATCTACCACGCCTATGTTGGCCGCTGTCTCTTCGAGCGGCTTGTTGCCAAGGCTGGTGTCGACCGAGTCCGGCGATACGGGCGAGAAAACAAGCTCGCCTCGAATCTCGGAGGCGATGCGCTCATACGCGTCGTCGTCGGCGTACTCGCTCTCCCAGCTTTTTAGATGCGCCTCTTCGTCGTCGAGCGTTGGGGCGTCTGGTTTCTTTAGGACGGCAATCATCGCAAGACTGCCCTTGATTTGCCCCAAATCGTTTTCATCGTTTTTGGCCTTCTCAAGTTTGGCCAGACCCTCCTCTACTTTGGCGAGGCGCTCCTGAAACTTAGCAGTCAGCTCTCGCCTCGCCTCCTTCTTCGCGCGTTTGACCTTGGCTTCGAACAGCGCGTCCTTGGCCTCAATACGCCTTTTAAGCAACGCCACTTCGGCGCTTTTGGCTCTCCTTGCTTCCTCTAGGCGAATCACTGAGGCGGAAACTTTGTCGACGTCGGCGCGGAGAACCATCTTCTCCTCTTCCAACTTCGACGCTCGGGTCATCGCCTCGGTGAGTTTCCCCTTCGCCGCCGCGGCTTCGTTTTGCGCCTCTTCCAGCTTCACCTTTGACGCCCCGGTCTCATTTCGGGCCTCGTCCAAACGACGCTCGACCTTAGGCAGGTCCGCCTCATATTCGGCCATCAGGTCGTTAATGGCCGTGACAAACTGCAGAGAACAAACCTGCGTTAAAGACTTCGTAAAATTTGCGAAAATAAAAGAAAGCAAATAGAACGTACCTTGGTACCGCGCTGCGCCATCGCGCCGTATGACCTCGGCCTCCTCAGCTTCTCCGGAGGAGGAAGACGCGTGTTCGCGTTATTTACACGCGAGAACATGACGGCAGAAGCGTCGGGGTCGTCAACAACCAACTTACGCGCGGCGGGATCCCCGGGCGTCGGTTTCCGCCTCTTCTTGGACGGCTAGTCCTTCTGAACGGCGACGCCCTTCCCCTTGTCGGTAGCCAAACTTTTTCGGCTAGAGTCATGCTTCTGAACAACCGAAGTCGGTGGTCTCGTCGACTTCGGGAGGGCCAGGATGGCGGATTGCGAAGGAGTCTTACTCCGTGCCGCCAAGCCGTCCCCGGACACCTCGGGGATAATTTCGCCCGGTTCCACCTCGGGCGCTGCGTCTTTCTCAGCCGCCTCGGCAGTGTCGCCTTCTGCGGCTCGGACCATTATATCTTCTTCCCGGCTCGGCGGGTCGGGTTGAAGGACGGCCTCGGCTTGCTCTGAAACCGCCTCGGCTTGCGCTGGAACCACCTCGGTTTACGCGTGAGCCGCCTCGGCAGCTCGTCTAGCGGCTTCCTCTTTCTCGCGCCTCTTCCTTTCTCTGAGAGCGATTATCACCATCTTCTCCCGGGTATCTCTTGAAGAACTTGAGGACGAAGAGCTGACGGGGACTCCGGCAAGGATGGCTCGCGCTTTTTCTACTCTTTCGAGGGTGAAGTTCTTTCTCCAATTAACCTTCCGCGCCAAAAGAGAGTCTCGAACAGTAAAGAGGTCGTCGGGAATCGGGGGAAGAAAGCACCGAACTGCAAAACAAAGCAAAAAAGAAAAATTTTCAGAAAAAGAAGAGGATACCAAAAACAGTTCCGAGCCGAGGCAAAGCTTCGGGTCGGCTACCAAGTGGTCCCCAAGCAGTCTTGGTTCTTTGAATGTAATTCTCGCCGACCGATGCCTCGTTCACCAAGACGTAGAAGAAGCGTTCAGTCCAAAACTGATCCTTGCTGGTAAAACCGCTGATGATCCGTTGCCTCGCCTTGTTGGAAATATATAATCTATTTCCCTTCAGAGCTTTCCTGATTTCCAGCAAGTTCAGCAGGTGATTCAGCTCGATATCAACTCCGCACTCGAAGCTTCGAACTAAGATGCCTATCATATGTCGTAATCCCCTCGGCATGATCTGCCCAATCGAGATCCCGTGTTTCCAAAGATATTCAAGGATCACTCCGGGGATCAGGAACCAGAGGAAGCAAAGCTCGAAGAAGGCCTCGTACAGAGTAAAATGATTCTCTTGGGGCTTGTCGGCTCGGTCACTCTTCTTTGGAATGACGAACTCCACCGCCTCGGATATCCCGAAGCGATGCCTCAACACCTCGAGCGACTCGAGGGAGCAAAGCGTAGAGCCATGCGGGTCAGGTTTTTGTCTCTTAACTCGCGGCTCTCGCCCAGATGTGGAAGCGCCTCGGGACGCCATGAGACGCTCTAATTCACGCTTCGCCTTGAAAAGGTCAAAGGGAAATGCCTTCTCCTCGGCCTTAAGTGCGGCACGATTAATGTCTTCATCAGGAACCGGATCCTGGGGACGGCTAATCGAAACTGACGGCTCGTCATCCGGAGAGCCGATATCTGACGGATTTGCATGATTTGACGCCTCGTCAGATGAACGATTGGAGGGGCTCGGCGAAATAGACGCCTTGGAGGATTCTGTCGTACCTCTCGGCTCGTAATGAAAAAGTGAATCCAACGAATCGTCGGAGCGGCTCGACATAATTTACGACTTGTACAAAAGTTACAGCACGACTCGGCGAGCCTCTGCCGGAAAAAGATCTGGAACGGCGGAGACCTCTGAAACCCTAGCCGGAAAATAAATAAACTAGAGAGAGAAAGAAGAGAGAAGGGAGAGCTACCTTTAGTAAAAACGAGTGAGTCTGAAGATAATGAGGAAGAATGAAGGAGCTCACCCATTTATAGGAAAAACGAAGCGCGTGAATTCCGCGTAAGCCTCGGGAAACCGTCCAAACCGCGCGTGGGATCTGCAGTGAAATGGCTAGACCCAACTGCGTCGATCACACGCGCCAATAGATCTGGAATTTTCTCTCGAAAGACCAACAGTCGGGGCACCCAATTTTTCAGCCGGTATCTTACCAAAGTAAACGCCTCGTCGTTAGCGAAACGGCTCGACATTATCTCTCTCTTGAGACGCCTCGTCGTTAACAAAACGGCTCGGTACGAATTTTCTCTCGAAACGCCTTGTCGTTAACGAAACGGCTCGGCACGAATTCTCTCTCGGAACGCCTCGTCGTTAACGAAACGGCTCGGCACGAATTTTCTCTCGGAACGCCTCGTCGTTAACAAAACGGCTCGGCATGAACTTTATCTCAAAACGCCTCGCCGTTTATTCGGCTCGGCATAACCTTTTCAAATCGCCTCGTCATGGCTCATCATAACTAAACGAAATCGCCTCGGCTCATCATTACTAAACGAAATCGCCTCGGCTCATTATTACCAAACGAAATCGCCTCGTCCTTAACTTGCCTCGGCATCTTCGGCACCCTTTCGAAACACCTCGGCACCCTCGGCACTCCTTGGAAACGCCTCGGTATCTTCACTCCCAAAACACCTCATCTGGGCTTACATCATAACAGCTTGACTCGATGGTTTATCCTACGGTCAGGAGTAATGGGCCTCGTCACTCTCGCCACCGAAACTGACGAGCTGGGGGAGTAACTGTTGGGGTCGGTTTTCACCCCACGCAGATAAAACCATCTCAAAATGACTAAGTATGGAAAGTGGGAGAGCCGTGGTCACCAAATGGGAGAGCCGTTCTCACCAAGAGAAGCGGGAGAGCCGTGGTCACCAAATGGGAGAGCCGTTCTCACCAAGACAAGCGGGAGAGCTGCGATCACCAAGTGGGAGAGCCGTGAAGAAAGACCAGTAGGGAGAGCCGTGAAAAAAGAGAGATGGGCCGAGCCGTATCATAAGAAATGGGCCGAGCCCCTCTCTAACATATCTGGGCCGAGCCGCGTCTCGGTGAGGTGGACCAAATCATGTCTCGACTAAAGTAGCAAGTGGGCCGAGCCGTGGAGAAGTTAGACAGGCCGAGCCGTGGAAAAGTTCAGATGGGCTGAACTAAAGCTTTGAGAGACGAAGCCCACAAAAACCCTAGGCGAAATACAAAGGCGGTGAGCCGCACGAGGCGATAAGGAAACATTCCAAAAATCTCTCCCGAGATTCTCGGCTAGGCGGTTTGGAGGATTAGTATAAATAGATTATGTATACAATTCATTCTGTAACTTTTGCAACCCTAAGCAATAAGAGCTAAACACTTTTACAGCAAGAAAAACTTTCTTTCGATCTTACTGTTCTTGGCGATAAACCCTAGAAGTTTCCGATCCCTTAGTTTTCCTTAAACAAATTTCTGGTTGTGCGAGTTTTGGCTCACACAAAAACGATCAAGGATTTTTTTGCTGGTGATCTGTGTATTCTGTGTCTCGGGAAACGATGAGTGAGCACCACGAAGAGACCAGTGTTAATGGTGTTAACAAGTTATACATGGAAGCGATGTTGGCTGAAGTTAAGAACCTTGTTGATGCTAAGAGAATCAAGGGTTACTTCTAGCTTCACATTTTAAATTTATAACCCTAAATATCTGCAAGTGCACAGATGTACTCTGTAGTACTTAGGGGTCGAACCACAGAGATTTTGAGCTTTCAGTACGAATCAATCAAGACTTAAGACTAGTAGAACAAGCAAATGGGGGTTTTTGGTTTTGGTGTTACTAAATCTAAGCGCAAATCGAAATAAAGAAGGTTGTAAAACAATAGGAACAAATCGCTGGGTCTAAAGGGTTTTCGCAGGAGTTCATGAATTGATCAAAAGACAAACAAATTGATAAAGGTAATCATCTAGTGAGGATCCCGTACTCAAATAGACACATGTAAGATTAGCCAACTCTCGTCACCCTAATCATCTAATCACTCAACACAGCAATTAACTCTTGCTCTCATGCTGCAAATAAGATCATGCATTAAAAACAGAATTCATCCACGCTCACGATTCTCTATAGGTAGCTTTCGTCTCCTATAGCGATTTCGCTCGATCACTTCTAGGTATGGTAATTCGATACAACACACTCGTGGCTCCAATTATTGAGATCAATTTTTAAGCGGTTAGCAACAGAAACAGCATAGGGAACAAGAATGAACGAAAGACTCCTAGAAGATTATAAACCCTAAATCGAACAAAGCATATGATTAACTGGGAAATTACTCAGATATAGCTGAGTTCAACATCACAAGAGTATTTAGAATTGCAGAGAATTTAAATAGACAAAGGTTAGAAACGAAGAACAGGTTGAAGCAGGAGATCCGATGGTGCCCCTCTTGGTGGCTCTTCTTCTAGGCGTGACTTTCGTCTAGGATTCTTGGTCAGAAATGCGGCACACCCTTCTGAATGACTTAAAAGGGGTTTATATAGTGTCTTGAGTCCTCGGGAACGTCTAGGGCTTGCAGTAATAATGACGGGAATGACTTGGGCTTTAAAATGGGCTTATGAAGCACGGAATTGAGCTCCCGCGGTCTAAAATTTTGCACCCCCGGCGGATGACGTTTTGGCCGCGGGTGAGCTTCTGATTGTGATGATTTGCTTTCAGTGTATCGACTATATCTAGAGATCTAACCGTTGGATTGTTTTGATTATACTTGTATTGGAAAGCTGGTTGTCTCCTCTATCATGTGTCAAACTTTGGGGATGATCGGACAGTGGGAAGACCTCCATTAGTTACCAAACGTCCGACAGTCTGAATTTATTCAAAGTTGTGCTTTTTGCTCACAAATACCCTTTTGTCAAAATATCCTGAAAACTCTTTTAAGATTCTAAAACATGGAAATCACTTAAAAACCTTTAAATCTGAGTGAAAACACCTGCATAAGATATTGAAAGTGATCCATAAAAGCTGTCAAAATCCGGTGTTATCAACTCCCCTAGACTTAAACCTTTGTTTGTCCTCAAACAAAACCGAAGATCTGAACCTGGAAGAAAGGTTTGAAAATCGCAGGAATTGACAAAATCTCAGAGACCATGCTCTAAATCAAAATTAGTCATTATGCTCAAATTAGGGATAATCTAGAAAATTCTCACCAAAGCACAGACATAACTAGTCCGTTGATCCGTCATGAGAAAATCTACACACTTAAACCTATCCTCCAGTCAACTAGCTCTTAACATTCATTTATAAGTTCCAGTGGTTCTCATCAAAAGGAGTTTAGCAAGGCGATCAAGGCTAGGTATTCAAAATGGCTGTTTAGAAAGTGAGGTTCATAGTGTTTAGGGTTACCTTTTCTGGAGAGACAGACATTATGCAAAACAGCAAGAAAGAGTGGAGCTGTTGATATCCACAGTTTCCAGTCACATTCTTCTTGCTTTAAGATTCTTGATCTCATTTCTTCAGGTTCTCCTCATGACTCTCCCACTTAGATTTTTGTCCAGGTTTTTAAAACCAATGCTCAGAATTGAATACTTGTAGTCCTTGCTTCAGATAATTTTGGCCAACCTAGACTCTTTTAGGCTTTTTGTTTTTCTTTTCCTTTCATTTTTTTTTTCAATTTTTTTTTTTTTTTGAAAGGGGAAAAATACCTTTGGATGTAGAGTCTTAGGAGGCACAAAATTTACCTTTAAATTCAAGCTTTCTGAAGCACCATTAATCATTAAAGGATTCTTGATGCTCCACTTTCCCAAATTTCTTCAGTCTTCTTCTTGAGTGACTGAAAACCATGTCGCTCCTCTTTCTCCGGCGTTTTTGCACATATTTGTCGATATAAACTAAAGAGAGAATGCATGAGGTTTGAACATTAAAGTTTGGGTAAAGGGTGTGGTACCAGCTAAAGATGAACTGGCCATCTAGGACAACAAAGAGTAATAACAATAAGGTGAAGATGTCCTAGATGTGTATCATGATGCCTGCTAAAACCAGTGATGAGAAAATTAGATGTCCAGATTATGTTCAGGTGAAAAGATATCATGAATAGAAATCCTCTGGTGGGAGTTCGTAGTACAAGTACTCTAGCTACTGCCTAGTCTAGTACTAATCACAAAAGAACTAACATGGTTTAGAAGTGCACAGTTTTGTTCTGGTGTCCTGTTTTGAAAACCGTTTTGAAAACTTTTTATGAAAGATCTTTTATGAAACACAAACTCAAAACAAACCCAATTTTCATTAGTAAGGGATGAATATCCTCCCCCAGACTTAAATCACACTGCCCCCAATGTGAGAAATCTTTGAGAGGATGGGATAATGATGGACTGAAATTTGGAATGTTTAGGTATACTTACCTGGCGATGTTTCGCAAATCTTGATGTGCTTTTTGGTTCGTGATTTCTGTTCACCTCTTTTATTTGTTCTTCGCTTAAAAACCTGAAATTATAAAAAACAAAAACAAAGCAGCACAAATTGAAAAAGGCAAATCAAAGGGAATAAGTAAAATACCAAGTGGGTTGCCTCCCACTAAGCGCTTGCTTAAAGTCATTAGCTTGACTTGATGATGCTTTAGCCTGACGGGTCTGCCAAGAGCATTGCTTCTCTTCCTTCTTCTTCTGCGAGGTATGGTTTTTGCTTTGTCAACTTCAATACCTTTCCCAGATATTTTATGTCCAAGCACAATTCCTTCGCGGACCATGAAGTGATATTTTTCCCAGTTCAGGACAAGATGCTTGTCTTCACAGCGCTGCAAAACTTTTCCTAAGTTTGCCAAGCATTTGTCGAAAGAGGAT